TTCCAACCCTTATATTCTATGATTCTATGATTCCTATAGCCATCTGGCCTGACTCTGTCACACCTCGTTAACTAAAAAGTACGAACTACTGTGAATTGACCTTTCTTTAGCAAAATAACTGAAAGTACAAATGCAAACCAAAATTTAAACTGATTTATTTTTATCAAGGTTTCCAGCTTGGTGATTTAAATCAATCCATACGGAGCACCTGCTGGGAGCTTTGGGGTGGGAGATGGCTCAAGCCCCAATCTACGGTTTCTCCAATGTGGCCACCATGGCCGCATGTGGCCACCAGAGGTTTTCCCTGCGGCCATGGCAGTTTCCTGGGCAGCATCAGCCCCTCCCCTTCCTACCTGTTGCAACTGCGTGCGCCGCCTCGCTGGAGACATAGGTGGGACACACGAGCCTTAAGAGCAAGGTGAGGCGGCGAGGAGGGGGGGAGAAGGCAGGCAGCGGGCGGCGGGGGAGGAGGTGAATGGCGGGGGGGCCTGGCAGATGAGTAAGGAGGAGAGCGGTGAGCAGAGGGGGGATGAGGAGACAAAAGGGGGGGTGGAGTGAGGAGGCGGGAGGCAGAGGGGTGAGGAGATGAGCAGGGGGGTGAGGAGGCGAGCTGTGGGGCAGTGAGGAGGTGGGAGGATGGGGGTGAGGAGACAGGAAGCGAGCTGTGGGGGGGTGAGGAGGTGGGGCTGGGGGTGAGGAGATGAGCGGAGGGTGAGGAGGCGGGGGTGGGGGGGAGATAAGCAGGGGGGTGAGGAGGCAGGAGGCAAGCTGCAGGGGGGTGAGGAGGTGGGGGTGGGGGTGAGCAGGGGGGTGAGGAGGTGGGGGTGGGGGTGAGCAGGAGGGTGAGGAGGCGGGGGTGGGGGTGAGGTAAGCAGGGGGGTAAGGAGGTGGGAGGCGAGCTGTGGGGGGGTGAGGAGGTGGGGGTGGAGGTGAGCAGGGGGGTGAGGAGATGGGAGGTGAGCTGTAGGGGGGGTGAGGAGGCGGGGGTGGGGGTGAGCAGGGGGGTGGAGGAGGCGGGAGGTGAGCTGTGGGGCGGTGAGGAGGCAGGGGTGGGGGTGAGCAGGGGGGTGAGGAGGCGGGGGTGGGGGTGAGGTAAGCAGGGGGTAAGGAGGTGGGAGGCGAGCTGTGGGGGGGTGAGGAGGTGGGGGTGGAGGTGAGCAGGGGGGTGAGGAGATGGGAGGTGAGCTGTAGGGGGGGGTGAGGAGGCGGGGGTGGGGGTGAGTAGGATGGTGAGGAGGTGGGGGTTGGGGGTGAGCGGGGGGGTGAGGAGGCGGGAGGTGAGCTGTGGGGCGGTGAGGAGGCAGGGGTGGGGGTGAGCAGGGGGGTGAGGAGGCGGGGTGGGGGTGAGGTAAGCAGGGGGGTAAGGAGGTGGGAGGCGAGCTGTGGGGGGGTGAGGAGGCAGGGGTGGGGGTGAGCAGGGGGGTGAGGAGGTGGGAGGTGAGCTGTGGGGGGGTGAGGAGGCGGGGGTGGGGGTGAGCAGGCGGGAGGCGAGCTGTGGGGGGGGTGAGGAGGCGGGGGTTGGGGGTGGGGGTGAGCAGGGGGGTGAGCAGGCGGGAGGCGAGCTGTGGGGGGAGGGGGGAGGCGGGGAGTGGGGGTGAGCAGGCGGGAGGCGAGCTGTGGGGGGGTGAGGAGGCGGGGGGTTGGGGGGTGGGGGTGAGCAGGGGGGTGAGCAGGCGGGAGGCGAGCTGTGGGGGGGTGAGGAGGCGGGGGTTGGGGGTGGGGGTGAGCAGGGGGGTGAGCAGGCGGGAGGCGAGCTGTGGGGGGTGAGGAGGCGGGGAGTGGGGGTGAGCAGGCGGGAGGCGAGCTGTGGGGGGGTGAGGAGGCGGGGGTTGGGGGTGGGGGTGAGCAGGGGGGTGAGCAGGCGGGAGGCGAGCTGGGGGGGGTGAGGAGGCGGGGGGTTGGGGGTGGGGGTGAGCAGGGGGTGTGAGCAGGCGGGAGGCGAGCTGTGGGGGGTGAGGAGGCGGGGAGTGGGGGTGAGCAGGCGGGAGGCGAGCTGTGGGGGGGGAGGAGGCGGGGGTTGGGGGTGGGGGGTGAGCAGGGGGGTGAGCAGGCGGGAGGCGAGCTGGGGGGGGGGTGAGGAGGCGGGGGAGTGGGGGTGAGCAGGCGGGAGGTGAGCTGTGGGGGGGTGAGGAGGCGGGGGTTGGGGGTGGGGGTGAGCAGGGGGGTGAGCAGGCGGGAGGCGAGCTGGCGGGGGGATGAGGGACGAGGCAGCAACGGATATTGGGCCGCTCTGCAAATCATAACATCTTTATAGGCACAAGTTGGTGTCAGCTCTGCCCAGCCTGCCGGATGGCCCATTAAGACCACCAGCTGTACGAGTGACCCACTGCGAGACGGCAGACACGCCTGGGGACTCAGCCAGGCGTGCAGGGACCTGCCCATGGACAGAACTCGGAGGTGTTTCCAGGCCAGGTGCTGGGCAGCTTGTCCTTGGGACAAAGAAAGCAGAGGCCACAGGGCAAGAGACTGTACAAAGCTGATGCAGCTCCTCCACCTTGTCTTCAGTCCTGCTTCCTACCTCTGGAGGGACTTTGCTACAGACTGAAGCTCTGAACAAAGGACTGAAAGACCCATCCCAGCTGGGGATGTTCTCCAGAGACTGGATTTGAACCTGCCGTTTATTCCGTCACTGCTGCAAGCCTGAACCATGAACTTTGCCATTCCTGTATGTCATTGATTCCATTTAACCAGTTCTAGCTCTCATCTCTATTTCTTTCCTTTTTATGAATAAACCGTTAGATTTTAGATTCTAAAGGACTGGCAATAGCATGCTTTGTGGGTAAGATCTAATTTGTTTATTGACCTGGGTCTGGGGCTTGGTCCTTTGGGATCAAGAGAACAGTTTTTCTTTTACTGGGGTATTGGTTTTCATAACCATCTGTCCCCATAACGAGAGGCACTGGTGGGGATACTGGAAAACTGGAGTGTCTATGGTTAGCCAGCGGGGTGAGACCGAAGTCCTCTCTGTTTGGCTGGTTTGGTTTGCCTTGGTGTGCAAAGGAACCCCAACCTTGGGCTGTAACTGCCCTGCTCTGAGCAATTTGTCCTGAATTGGCACTCTCAATTGTGTCCCACCGAAGGCTGCATCCTTATACCAGGACTCCTGGATTTTCTCCCCAGCTCTGGGAGGGGAATGGGGTCTAATGGTTAGAGCAGGGGGCTGGGAGCCAGGACTCCTAGGTTCTATCTCTGGCTGTGGGAGGGGAGTAGGGGCTAGTGGTTAGAGCGGGGGGGGACTGGGAGTCAGGACTCCTGGGTTCTATTCCCAGCTCTGGGAGGAGAGTGGGGTGTAGTTGGTTAGAGTAGGAATGTGATATAGCCCACCTAGGGACTATTCTTAGTGTCATCTGGCTTTGAACTTTACCAAGTGTGACAAAGTTGGGGATTTTTGTAGTGTTTTACATGAATAGTGTGTGTGCGCCTCAGTTTCCCTGTGTACTGCATGTTTAACAACATGGTGGGAGAGGATTTATTGTTGCAGAGGACCAGGTGTGACCTCACCTACTGGCCGGGACCCCTGGACATCAGCCTGGAGATGGGGAACCCTAACAACTGGTGACCTGGTGACTAAGAGGCCCACCCCAGCTTGGCAGTCAGTGGGTTCTGGCCAGTGGGAGGACAAAGGGCTGAGGAGAGAGGACCCCAGTGACCTGACCAGGCAGTTCCATCCAGAGGGAACAAAAGACAGAAGAGAGAGGGCTCCAGCGACAGTTTACCTGGGATGGAAGACAAAGGACAGGGGAGGAGCTGTTGGGGGTGGTGATATCGAATGCCCAGCTGGAAAGCACAGGGTCTCGGGACTGGACAGAGAGAGCAGGCAGAGCCTATGGGACGCAGGAGAGACTTAGATGTACTTGTGCTGAGGAAGGCTAGGCCTGATGCCCGGAGAGTTTCCTGCGCTGGGGTCAGATGCTCACTAAACCCTCCTGTGTTACGCTGGCTGAGAGTCGCTCCGGTCTAGAGAACAGGGTGGGCATTATTCCCTAGGGGAGGCCTGGCTCCCACCGCCATGCTCTAATCACTTCATCATTCAGCCTCCCTTGTCCTCTCCAAGCGCAGGAAAAGGGTCCCTGGCCGATGGCCCAGCCATCCAGAAGAGGCGCAGCATGGGCAGAAGCCACTGAGCTCTTCGTTGTGCAGGTCCATTCACCAGTGCTGTGAGATGCCCCTGGAGCAGATCACGGCGCTGCGGCAGCTGCTGGCCACCATGAAGGATGAGGAGATCACCCTGCGCTCCAGCCTGGGCATCTTCAAAATGGGATGGCCTGCTTCCAAAGCAAAAGCTCGAGAAGGTGGGAACCCCTCCGTGGCACGGCAGCCTCCAAGGCCCAAGCTCCCCTCTCCTCCTTAGGGGGCAGCGATGAGGCTCAGTCAGGGTAGGTTGGAGGGATCATGCTTGCTCTGCTGCTGTCTGAGAGCAGATCCACATCCAGCCCCCAGGGTCAGCGCACTACCCTTGGAAGTGGGGGTCGTAGCCAGCTGAGGGGGGTCCACTGCTGGACTGGCCGGAAAGTGGGCCCAGGTGTCTCTCCAGCTGTTGCTAAGCTCTCTCTGTGCAGCGCCTTGCAGGCGCCGGACTACCTGCAGCACGTGTGGGAGATCACCGAAGAGTGGGAAGACAGTGGAACGAGTGGAAGACAGGAAGCTTCAAAACCCCGTGTAACGAGGCTGGTTCTGGTGGGACCCAACTGAGAGGGCCAATTCAGGACAAATTGCTTCAAGCAGGGCAGTTACAGCCCAAGGTTGGGGTTCCTTTGCACACCAAGGCAAACCAAACCAGCCAAACAGAGAGGGCTTCGGTCTCACCCCGCTGGCAATTCCCTTAGACACTCCAGTTTCCCAGTATCCCCACCAGTGCCTCTCGTTATGGGGACAGATGGTTATGAAAACCAATACCCCAGTAAAAGAAAAACTGTTCTCTCGATCCCAAAGGACCAAGCCCCAGACCCAGGTCAACAGACAAATCAGATCTTACCCATAAATCATGCTGTTGCCAATCCTTTAGAATCTAAAATCTAACGGTTTATTCATAAAAGGAAAAAGATAGAGACGAGAGCTAGAATGGGTTAAATGGAATCAATGACATACAGGAATGGCAAAGTTCTTACTTCAGGCTTGTAGCAGTGATGGAATAAACGGCAGGTTCAAATCAAGTCTCTGGAGAACGTCCACACCTGGGATGGGTCATTCAGTCCTTTGTGCAGAGCTTCCGTCTGTAGCAAAGCCCCTCCAGAAGTACGAAGTAGGATTGAAGACCACCAGATGGAGGAGCTGCAGCAGTCTTTTATAGTCTTTTCCAGGTGTAAGAACCCCTCTTTGTTCTTACTGTGGAAAATTACAGCAAAATGGAGTCTGGAGTCACATGGGCAAGTCCCGGCATACCTGGCTGAGTCACAAGGCGTATCTGCCTTCTCTCAATGGGTCATTGTATAGCTGATAGTCCTTAATGGGCCATCCAGCAGGCTAGGCAGAGCTGACCCCAACTTGTCTGGGGTGTCACCCAGAAGCACAGCATAAGTTTGAAATACAGACAGTATAGAGCCAATATTCATAACTTCAACTACAAAAATGATACACACATATAGACAGCACAATCATAACCAGCAAACCATAATCTCTCCATAGATCCCTTACACAACAACCTCTATACAATATTTGCTGCAAATATATAACAGTGGTGGCAACAGTGATCTATACAGTTACAGGTTATGTTAATAATGTCACACCCTGCAACAGAGGTGATGGATGGAGACCGTGACTTATGGGCTCTTCCAGAAGCTCAACAAACTGAGTTGGGAGCTCAAGGTAAGAGAGGCTCCCCTGGCCCGGCACTGCTGGCTGGTCCCCTTGTGGTGTACAGGAAGGGCTCTTTGGAGGGCAACAGCTGGGGAACCAGGGCACTTGGAGGACAGAAGAGAGGGGGGGCTCTGCACCCGGTTCCTGCAGACCGTAGCTGGAGGTCATTGGAGGGGCACTGTGGGATTGTGCTGGGAGGACCAATAGGACTGGTGCAGCTGCAGGGCCCTCACTTCCTGTCCTCATTAGACGTGGTGCAGAGGCTCACCCCGAGCAGCCCACTGGGGACGTGATCTCTTGTTCACACTGCATGAAGTTCTAGGGGTGGGTGTGATGCACATGAAAGGTGTGCCAAGGGGCCACCCAAATGAGTATTCCCCCCTTCCTGCTAACACCCCCCCTCCCCAACCTGACATTGCTTCCTTTCCAACCAAAGCATCAGAACTGGGAAAGTACTGAGATTTCCAAGGTGAAGGTCAGGCAGTTTAAGAGGACGTTGCCCCTGATCTCAGGAATCTGGCCTTGCAGGAGAGGTAGGTATGGCTCATCCAAGGGCACTGTCTGCACACTCGCTGCTGGCCCAAGCTTCTGGGACATTGGAGAAGCTCTGCTGCCCTCTGGAGAGTGGCTGAAAGCTGCTCCTCCGTGGAGTAATATACGGGATACTGCGCCCCTAGCTCTGTCTGTGATGCCGCAGGATCCCACTGAGGGAATGAATCGTCCTCTGCCTTTCCTTAGCTCCTGTCATCTGAGAAGCTCCCACACCTTAGCATGCATTTAAGAAAGAAGTTTCCCCACCCCTCTGTGACATGGGTAAATTCGCTGATCCCGTGAGGCCCAGAGAGGAGAAGGGATGTATCCAAGGTCACAGAAAGTGAGTGGTACGAATTGAAACCCGGAGTCCTGAGAGCATCCCCCCGACTACGCTCCCCTTCCCCAATAGGAAAGAGAACCCAGGAGTCCTAACCTCCTGCTTTAACCACCAGACCCCACTCCTCTCCCACAGCTGGGGAGAGAACCCCAGAGTCCTGGCTCGCAGCCCCCTGCTCTAACCACCAGACCTAGATTGCCCCCAGCCCAGTCAGGCCTGTTGACACACAAATTGTCTCACTCTAACCACGGCCCACCCAGAGCGTGGATGCATCAACCCCGGTGTAAAGAGGACTTATGCCTACAGAGCTGGCCCTGAACAGGAAGGGGAACGAGCTATACTGGGATATGGCGTCTGTAGATCAGTATAACCCTGGCTCCAGGAGAGGCTGTGCTGGTCTGATGCATGGTTCAAAATCACCCCTGAGCTCCCAGGACAAATGCTGTGTTCAAACCAGGAAAGTCCTGCCTTTGCCTGTCTCCAAGCCCATACACCGTCCCAGTATATATGCTGTCCCCTCCCACATGCTATACCCACTCATACACTAGCTGGCGGCCTATATACCAGCTTCCAGCCCACATGCTGCCCTGGCCCAATACTAACGTCCAACACATACAATATCTAGCCCATATGCTATCCTGGCCCCCAACTGGCACCTCCCAGCCCACAGGCTCTCCTGCTTAAAAGCGCAGGCTCCTCTGCGGGCCAGACTTTGCTCCCAACTGGAATCCCTCAAGCCCTTGTTTATTGTCTCCTAAATCCTCGTGCTCATTAGCAGCTCCAAGAGATCATCTGTTCCCCGCCCCCATTAAACAACCCCAGGGATGCGCTTCACACTCTTAGGGGAGCTGGGGAGGATTGGCAGCCAGATTGCAGGCTGGTCTGGTCCACGAGGAATCTGAAAGCGGCGGCAGACAGCACTGGCCTTGTTATTTCTGTATCCACAACAGCCTTGGGGCTTGCACAAAAGCTTCTGCTTCTCACATCCCGTGCTCCAGCACCCTGGTGACCTAGAGGGTTCAATACGCTGAGCTGCGTTTCCAGCTCCCCGGCCTTTGCTGCCTCCTGCTCACGGCCAGGAAACTGCAATTCGAAGAGCTGAGGGGCCTGGGAGCAGGCACTGGGAGCGTGTGCCCTTCTTGGATGGGGGCAGGCCCTGGGCCCTCCTTGCCGCCCTCTCCCTGGGCCCTCAGCCAAGGCGAGATGGGTCTGGAGAAGGAGCTGTCAGGACCAGCCCGTGAGACTTCCACTTGGCTTAAAAAGGGGGGTGGTAGGGGGAGATGCAGCTGGAGAGGGGCAGCTTGGGAGGTGCCAGCTGCTGACAGGCCAGGACTGTCCTAGGCACGTGGCCCAGGTGACTGTCTGTAGAACCGGACAGCGCGCTCGATCCAAGTTCAGCAACAGAGCAACAGTTGGCGGGTAAAAACCTCCCTGCATGGCCCCGTGCTCACCCTCCCAGCTAGACACCAGCCCTCAGCTACTTTCATCTTAGCCACGGAAGGCAGTGTGGGTCCTGGAAAGGGGCAGAGGTGGTATCAGCAGGAGCAGAGGGTGCTGGGCTCCCAGCAGAGAATTGAATCTAGGCTAGCTGAGAAGGGAGGGAAGCATCCCAGGGCAAGCTCCCAAAGCAGGATCTCTCATTGAAGGCCCCACAAGAAAGGGCGCTGAGGCCACTTCTGGGGAACATCTCCATTGAGAGGAGTCTGGCATGGGCTGCTCAGGCCTGGAAACCATCAGCAGGGGAAGGCCCAGTCAGCTGAGGACACAGAGTCAGCTCCTCAGTGCTAGGCCTGTCAGCACACAGGATGCTGGCTGCTAGTGCGTGACCCTTGCTCCCTACAACAGGGGAGTTAGGAGCTTGCAGAGTGGCCTGGCAGGGCAGGCTGGGGTAGCAGGGGATAGCCCCACATTGAAGGCAGCCCACTGGTGAGCATATGGGGCAATTTGAGTAAAGAAGGCTGGGAGGCAGGATGCCTGGGTTCTATTCTGCACCTCTGTACCCCTGTGGACAATCAGGTGACAGTGGGGGGGGGCACAGAGCATGGCAAGGGGCTGGACTGATGCAGTCAGACTGGGGCAGCAGGTGCTCAGATGACTGATAGGGAGCCAAGGAGGCTCAAACGGACCCTGGAGAAGCAAGGCCCCAGCTGAGGGCTGAGCCGGGAATGGAGCGCGGGGACCTGGGTGCCGAGCAGCAGTCGCTGGAAGCTTGCAGCACTGTGCTGGCTGCTCACCATCCCCTCCCCCTGAGACACCAACTGACGCCTTCAGCCCCGCTACGCTCTCACTGGCCCCCAAGGTTGGGAATCGTCCCAGCAGCGAGGGGAAGGGGGCAGGTCTGGCACAGTGGTTTTACCTCATGCCACATCCCTCTGCTTGTGCACGCACACTTCCACACTAGTGCACCTGTGGGGGGGGGGTGTCCCAGGAGCAGCTGGTGGCAGCTCAGCGTCTGTGGTTATCTGGGATGGGCTGATGGCTATGGGCGGCGCCCTGGGATTCTAGCTTCCCACAGCAAGGATGGACAGGGGAGAGGAGGGGAGCTCCCATGGGAGCAGACGGCTTTTCCAGGGAGCGACTGGTCGAACTGAAGACACAGTTAAGCATGAGTGCTGGCCACCCTCCAGCAGCTGCCTTGCAGATGGCAGGAGGAGGATAGCACTGCCTCGGGGCTCTCCTGGCCCCTTGTGGCCCAGAGGCCATGCGGGGCTCTTGCTCACGGAGCGCCAGGTTTAGAGAATCGAGGTTTATTTTGCTGGGTGAGTCGCACCACACCCATCCCAGGATCCCCTACCAGAGCCCATTAAAAACACAAGGAGAGGAGAGCCCCCTCTCTGCCCTCCTCCCCCCCCCCGACACGAAGCAATATACAGAGTACGCCAGAGGGCCCACTGGCAGGGAATGCCCCCACAGTACAGAGCAGGGGCTGCGTACGCAGAACCTGCACCCTTTGAGGTGAAAGAGCTCGCCCACGGCTCCGGCAATGACGCAAAGGGACCCTCCAAAAGGGAGGCAGCCCAGAGTCAACGGGTGGAAGGCCGACGCCCTCACCTGCGGTAACGGTACCGCTTGAAGTGGAACCAGAGCTGGAAGATGCCATTGGCGAACTGGCAGCGGAAGCCATGGCGGTGCGAGTACTCCCACTCGCGGTTGACAATCTTGAAGGCGATGTCCTCATAGGGCGGGCCAGCGTGGAAGCGCAGGATGGCGAAGTCCTTGTTGTCCTGGCAGGCCTCCAGGAAGTACTCAGGCGTGGAGCGCTTGTCAATCAGGTCAGGGTAGAAGATGTTGAACTTGTAGCCCTGCACGATCTTGGGTGGCGGGTTATCGAAGTCGTAGTGTGTCTGGTTGTACTTGTTCCACTCAAAGCCTGTGTGGACCCGGTTGAAGAAGCGGGGCTTCCGGGGCCGGTACTTGTCGGCCCATAGGTAGGCCTTGCCCGTCAGGGGCATCTCCACACTGAACTGGGCCTCGTCGGCTCCCATGCCCTCCTTGGCCCTGCGGAAGAAAATGTCCTCGGCGCTCTCGCTAGCATCTCCTGTGGAGAAGGGGCAGGGGGTTGGTTAGAGGGAAGCCTGGGGGGCAGGGCCTGCAGCACGGCTACTCCGGGGGTGCAGGCCTGGCACCCTCCCAGGGCAGCCCAGGATGAGGCAACACCACTGGATCTACCCCAACAGGACCCAATCTGGGAAGGGGGACTTGAGGCCTGACGGCTCCACCCCCAGCAGCCCGAGGCTTGCGCTGGGGGCCGGTCTGTGGCATACTAAGGAGGGAAGGGAGGAGCCCCTTCAATTGGTTACAATGCAAGTGGCCACGCTGGAGGCTGCTGAGAACAGGGGAGAGCAGAGGGCTCCGGCTTGGGCTCCAAGGGAATGGGCTGGCTGCTTGATACCCAAACCCCAGGTTAGTGGGTCCCAGGTCTGCTCAAGCTCCTCCAGCCCCTCATCCCACACACCCTGAGGCAGGCACAGACTCCCCAGGGCTTTGCCGAGTCTGTCCCCAGCAAGGAGGCTGCTAGGCCTTCCCCAAGGAGCTGTTCTGCAGCCCCCATGCGAACTGCTGTTATCTTAGAGACCCAGGCCTTGCGCCCAGTGGGGAAGGCCCTGAAATCTGGACATAGGCAGTGCCTTAATGAACTTGCCAGCCAGCACCTCTCAGTGACACAGAGACCCTGAGAAGATGAGCACACCCAGGCCATGCGGCACCCACGCCATCCAGCAGCTGTACCTGTGGCCTGGAGCTGTTGTCTCAAGAGCAGCAGCCGCTGGAGATCCTCCTCAGCCTCTAGCACATGGGCGTCGCAGGGCAGCTCGTGGGAGTTCAGCAGCCTGGGGCTGTACCTCCCGGCATCGTAGTCATCCAGGCTCTGCTGAATCAGGTCCTCCTCCATCAGCACTGCTTCCCCTTCCCCCTCGCCCTTGGCCTCTGCCTCTCCACCCCCCTCCGAGGAGGCTCCCGCTGTGGAGGGGCCAGGGTGCGCTGGAGCGCTCTCCTCTGGGTCCGGCCTGCAAGGCAGAGGGGAGAGAGGTTACGGCGCTGGGGGCCGGGTGAGAACCTGGACGGACAGGTCACACAGGGCAGGCTCAGGCAGCGTGGAAGGACAGTGAGGACAGCTCTAACGCCTGCGGGTGTCTGTGCTCCCACAGGGCACTGCCTTCTGCAGGGTGAATCCACCATGCCTCTTCTGCAGACACTCGTCCTACCTGTGCCGTCCTGGCACCGTCCAGCTTTTGCAGCCTACAGAGGCCAAACACAGTGAAGCTGCCTCACAAACATGAACGTTCCGTGGGCTACTCCTGCTCCAGGGCAACCCCACCCTGCCCTTCCTCCCAGGAGAGAGGACTTCTGGCAGGCGGGGGCATGGGGATGGGCTGTTGATGTGACACCCCCAAAACACTACACTCATTCTGTTGTCCAGGGCTGGTGCAAGGCTGCTGAGGGAGGGTGGATGATCCATGCCCCAGAAGGGAAGAATCCACCCTGCAGTGCTCGTGACAAGGCACTGATGCTGGCCTCTGGAAGGATGGTGGCACCTTGATGGATCCATCGTCTGGGGGTCAATGGGGGGGGGGAATATTTGCCTAAAATGGCAGGAACTCGACTGGAGGGAACCCCCTCAGGTGCCGTTAGCCTCTGTGATTGAAGAGGAGTAGGTGGAAACGAGGAGAGGTAAGCCCAGAGATGGAGGGGGTCACATGAAACCTGCCCATACCTACGCTTCCTATCTGTGTGCACAACAATGCTCAAAGCCAGCCGACCTTCCCACTGCTTGGGAGCTGGCTCTTGGGAACTTCTCAGTCCAATCAACTCCCCCCAGCCCGACACGGCAGCTCAATAGTCAACCCAACTTCACAGGTTGATTTTAGAGAGGTTTGGGAATCCAACTGTTACTAAAAACCTCATTGCAAACCTTGTCCATGGGACACGCCAGCAACCCTTTGCCCTTCATCCACAGATCTCAAGGCACTTTATGAAGGAGGCTTCACTTGGTTAGCACTGCTGTGCAGATGGGGAAGCCGAGGACAGCAAGGGGAAGTGACTTCAGCGAAGTCACAGCGAGGCAGCAGCAAAACCTGGAACTGAACCCCAGATTCCCGTGCTCTACCTGCTAGGCTGTGCTGTTCAGCCATCACTAGGCCTTGGGGGATGCTCAGCAGAGGGAGTACTCTCAGGGGTCGGAGCTAAATAACCCTGCTTAGCTTCTGGCATCAGAAGGAAATTGCCCACCCTGTCGGATGCATACCGTGGAAACTGCAGAAGACATTATATACACACAGAGACCATGAAACAATACTTCCTCCCACCCCACTGTCCTGTGCATGTCTTCTGCAGTTTCCACGGTATGCATCCGATGAAGTGAGCTGTAGCTCACGAAAGCTCATGCTCAAATAAATTGGTTAGTCTCTAAGGTGCCACAAGTCCTCCTTTTCTTTTTGCGAATACAGACTAACATGGCTGTTACTCTGAAACCTGCCCACCCTGTGTACCTGTTGCTGGGAGAAGACGGCTCCTTCTTCAGGATGGGGAAAAGAGGCTCACTCTCCACTCCCTGCTCCTGCTTCAGCTTGTACAGCTTCTGGCGCAGCACGTCCTGGTGCCGCTCCCGAAGCCTGCAAAGAAGTGACGAGAGCAAAAGGGTGAGGCCCCCAGCACAGCCTTCCCCTGAGCCCTCCGGGCTGGGACCCCCTGGGCATCCAGCAGAAACTCACTATGTTTCACTCACACAACACCAGAACAAGGTGCGAAACATGGGCTCAGCGCCCAGAGTCCTGCCCCGAAGGTTTCAGCAATGCTCCCAGCGAGACCTACACAGACAGGGTCCATGGTGGGCACGCAGCTGACTCCTGCAATCTGATGGTTCATGATCAGACAGCTTGAGCCCCAGTCATTGTGGGGGGCGACGAAAGAAGAGCGGACTCCATATTAGCCTTTCTCCTGTGCAGCATCTGAACCAGTCACCGAGGCTAAAGGAGACGTTAGGCACTCTCCTTCCCCTCAACCCCAGAAGGGAAGCAACCCATAACCAGCTGGGAGGGGACTAAAATGCCCACGTCCGACTTGGCATCTTGGCACACCTCCCACTCCCGTGATCTGTGCCACAATTCCCCAATACCACCCACTGCAGGCAGGTGTTGATACCCCACCTTGAGGGTGCAGCCCTGACGGGATATGTTCCCCCTCCTGCTCACCTGGCCCGGGCCATATACGCTTTAAGCTGCTGCAGCAAACTCTCCCAGTAACCGATGTCCAGGTTGGGCCCCCCGGCTCGGATCTTGCCCTCGATCCCTTGGAAGATCACTTGCAGCTGGTTGTATGTCTTCCCCTTGAACACTGACTGCACGTCCAAGCTAACGGAGGCATTGACTCCTTCTCGGCGCTCTCCTGTCGCAAGACAAATGAGGGTTAACACGAGTTAGTCTCAATGGGCGCTAAGGGGGAGAATGACCCACCAGTTACTGAGCCACAATGCAGAGTCTAGGCCCGCACTGGGCCACCCTCCAAAATCGGACACTCCATCAGTGCACCTCACTGCCTGGTGCACGAACCCCACCGAACCCCTGCTGGATTCTCCCTGCCCAGATGTTAGGTATTGCTTGGCTAATCCCAGCACTTTCCGTCCAGCCAGAGCCCACCAGTTACAGACTGAAGGCCATTTGAACAGGGTCATTTGGCAGGGCCCAAACCCGCCAAGCACAGATTGCCCTCGATTCAGAGAATATTAGAGTTGGAAGGGACCTCACGAGGTCATCTAGTCCAACCCCCTGCTCAAAGCAGGACCTACCCCAACTAAATCATCCCAGCCAGGGCTTTGTCAAGCCTGACCGTAAAAACTTCAAAGGAAGGAGATTCCACCACCTCCCTGGGTAACCCATCCCAGTGCTTCACCACCCTCCTAGCTAAAGTTTCTCCTAATATCCAACCTAAACCTCCCTCCCTTTGATGTGCATTGAGTACCAAGCACCATTCAGGATGGGGGCCTCTACGATGCACATGCCACACCCAGTCTTTTACCAGGCTCTTGGCAGAGAGTTCCTAACCCAGGAGCTTTGGCACAAGCTTGGGTTCAGGTGACAGGATCGTGCTCTGAGCGTGGGAAGCTGTCGCTCACTGTGCCAGTGGTTCTGCAGCGACCTCCGGGCCCCATCTCTTCGCAGGCAGGACGGAGCCATGGGGCCTCAGTTCCACTTAGCTCAAACAGGAAGAGCAATAACTGCACATGGGCACTCCCTGGCAGCAGCAACAGAAATTGCAAGTGCCAGCGAGCAAAGCTCTTTGATACAGGCCACAGAAGCAAGGCTGGGGAGCCGCAATCATGAGACTCAGGATTTTACCTGCCAGAGCTGACATCACCACTGGGCAGACAAGCAACTGTACACGTTACTGAGTTCTCTATACAAAGGCAAGGGAATTCACTTGGCTTGGTTACAGCCTCCAGGCTCAGCCTGCACCTGCATTCAGGGACAGCTGAGGGCTCTTTACTAGAGCCAGGCAACCGAGAGTTCCAGGCCCGGGAATCGCCCACACGCCAGAACCACGGTTTCATGTAGCTCTGTGATTATTTTACAGCACCCTCAAGCCTGCTTGGCACTATACAGACAGTGCAGACCTCACAGCAGGGAGGTCACCGCGTCAGTGACAACAGCTCAGAGCGGAGAAGCAATTTGACGAAGGTCAGAGAGTGAGATGGGGAAGAGCAAAAGCACAGGCCTCTACTCTAACTACTAGGCCATGTTCCCCTCTCTCACCCGCACTGCTGTGCATAAGCAATGCAGGTGCCAACAGCCAGCATTCTCCTCCCCCTTACCTGGGCCTTTTCCAGAAGCCTCTAGTTTACGGAGTTTGGCTATCTCGTCCTCAGTGATAATGGTCATGTCCCTCCAGAAATCCACATTCTTGCCCTGCTCCAGTTCCATATAAACCTGAAACAAAGAGCCATATGAAGTCAGAGGCGAAGCCTGGCCTGGTGCTGCTATTTGAATCAGGCCATTTGCAGCTGCAGGTGTTGCTATTCCAGTGAGCACTGGAGGCAGGGCTGATGAGCACCAGAGGTGGGGCACAGGGACAGCGTGCAAAGGACAGGAAGGAAGGTCGGACAGCACCTAATCTCCCCAGCTAGAGAATGGAGGCCTGGAAGCAGCAGTACTGGGGAGAGGTACCTGGATATCCTCCAGCAGATCCTCCATGTCGGAGACCGTCAGGCCATTCAGGAATGTGTATGGCTCATGCATTTCCACCGCCAGGTCATCATCCTCTGCACTGATGTACTTGGCCAGCAAGTCGATGGGTTTGGCACGGCCATCCCGGATCCGGATTTTTGATCTGCAGGTAACAAGAGAACACGCTGAGCTCTGGCTACCAGGTCTCAGACCGTGCCTGCCCCCAGCACACAGGCCTGAGACAAGTCGCTGGTGCCCACCTACCGCAGCTTAGCCTGGTGGAGGTGGAAGTTGTCCTCTTGCTCCTCCCAGGTTTTGAAGTGCTCCGCCTCCTTCTCCCGCTGCAGCATCTCCAGCTCCTGCTCGCGCATTGCCTTTTCTCGCTCCCGTTCCAAGCGCAGCTGCTTCACCTGTCTCAGAGAGAGGGAAAACTGTTGCAGTGCAGAGCCTGGGGCACCATCCATTCCCCAAAGGCTCAGCCGGTCCCAGCATGTGAACTAATGGATGCTATCTTCAAATCCAACCCAGTGCAAAACTGCCCCATTCCCCACGACTGGCCCTGCTGGCTGGGGGGCACTGAGATCTCTATTGGTTTAATAGCGTGTCATTAAAGAGACCACGGACCAGCTCATTCTGAGGATTCAGTATTGAGAATAGGACACCATCTCTGTGCGGAGACAAGAACCTGCTTGGACCACCACATCCCTGTCACCACACATGCCAAAGATGGGAGTGTTAGACTTGGTGGAGGCAGGGGGGAATAAGACAGCCACCAGTAACCAAGTGACTTATATTGGGGTCAGTGCCCTCGCCCGCATTAAGCTCCGCTGCAGATCACAGGCAGAGAAGGTCTATTGGCGCTCACCTTCTGCAGCTCCAGGCGGTTGTCTTCCTGGATTCGTTTGTTTCTTTCCTTCAGTTCTTTCTCCTCCAGGTGACCGATCCCTTTCTTCTCCAGGGCCTATAATCAAATCACACACCAAGAGGAATTAGGCCCCCAACAGGCCTCTCAGTTGCCATTTGTGAAGTGGCAGGAAGTCCACAACACAAGCCCTCTGCAGGGTGCTAAGTACATACCATCCACACACTCCACCTCACTGCAGATGATGCTGTGAAACTAAAACTCAGCCAGTGGCCCCCAGGAATTTAGCTGGGGCAGCCTCAATGTGGATACACAAGAACCCACCATCCCATTTAAATTAAGTTCTATGTAATGCATAGGTTTTCAGTGGCAGGCTGAATAAAACTGCACTGGATCTTTAAGAGAATTGCTCAAAACAAGTGGGTGCCTCTCCAGCATGTCCTCAGTGCAGGTTTCACCCTCACTTTTGCTTTGCTGTTCCTAGCATTTTCCAATTCCTCCCCCAACTCACTCCAGGCAAACGCGTACCTCCCTGCGCCTCATCATCCCTGACCCTGCACCATCACCCCTTGGCCCTCTCCGCAGCAGCTCAGCCAGTACGTGCAATGCTGAACAGACTGAGGGTCCACGGGGGAAGCTCTACCATGGGGAGCTGCACGGCCCTGATTATCTCAAGAATTGGGATGCTTGGGGGAGGGAAGACCTCATTTATCCCCCCACCTCACTGCCAGCTGAGGTAGAGAGAGGCCTCACCTTGCTCCAGATGAAGGTGCCTAGCAGATTGTTGTCCCCGAAGGGGTTATCAGTGTTGGTGTAGCCCATGTATTCCTCCCCCCAGCCCATCTTCTCACGCTTTTTCCTCTCCTTGGCTTCCTTCTTCGCCAGCCGCCTAGCCCTCTTCTCCTCTGGTGTTTCCAACGCCTTCATCATCTCAGCCTGCTTCTTCTTCTCCTCTTTCAGCCTGAGTCGCTCCTGAAGGCTCAGCTGTTGCCCCAGCTCCTCCCTGGAGCTGTGGGAACGTGAAGGAGAGGGAGATGTGACGGAGGACACAGAAGACCTGGAATGGGATCGCTTTCTTCTCCTCTCTCTGCTGCGGCCTCTTTTTTTCTCTCTCTCTGCCTCAGAGTCTGAGCTAGAGAAGTGATCCCGTGACCGAGAGCGGCGTTTCTTCTGGCTTTTGCGGTGCCGGTCCCTGCTTTTGCTTTTCTTCTTTCCCCATCTCTGCCTCTCATCAGAGTCAGAGCTAGAAAAAAAACAACGACACTCTAGTGATAGCTACCACCTCAGAGAAAGACTGCACAGCAGCACAGGGCTGACATAGCACCCTGCCCATCTAGCCGTGCAAACGTTCGTTCATTCACTCATCCTCACAACAGCCCTGAGATGGGGAAGCGCTCGCCACGTTTCACCGGCAGAGAAAGTACAGAGGTAAAGCGGGCTCCCTAGAGCCACGCAGCGAGTTAATGGCAGAGCCAGGGAAAGAACCCGGCTCTCGTGACTTTCGGCCCTGGGCTGGTGCCTCGCAGTCAGGCCGCCTCTCCTGCTGCCAGCTCGCAGCTTGCACTGGGGATGAAGCCACAGCCAGCCCGACAACGCACGTACGAGACTCAGGCCTCCAGGGGTGACCCAGGAGAAGGCTGCGGGCTGGGGCTGTGATTTCTCAGAGCCCTTCCACCCGAGGCTGGGCACAAAGGGGCTTGACGCCGCTTCGCTCTCGGGCCGGCCCGGACTGTCCCGGCACGGGGGAGGCGCTGGCGCTTTGGAGCGGGGCCCGGACCCGGGAGCTGGGCGTGAAGCGACGCGCCCCAGGCCAGAGACCCCCGGGCTGGGGCTGTCCCGACCCCGCACCGCGTCCGGGGCGGCGCCTCACCCCGAGCCCGGCTTCCTGCGCCGCCGCGTCTCGCGACCCCGAGCCCGGCCGCCTCCATCGCTGCTGGCGCCGCTGGAGCCGGAGCGGGACCGGCGGCGGCGCCTCCTCTCCCGGGACCCGCCCGCCTCCCTGCGGCTCCGGTGCCGCGAGCGCCCCGCGGGGCTCCGCGACCCGGACCCCATCAGCGCGCCGCTGCTCTCCGCCGCGCGGCCCCTTCCGGGCCAACGGGGGCCTCTCTCCCCAGCGGCGCATTCCCAGGCGCCTCCCAGCGCCTGACTGGAGCGGGCCTTTCCCCAGCGGTCCCGGCCGCCGGCTCCCACGCCCAGCCGCGCCCCCTCCCCGAGCCTCAGCGATACAGAGCGGCGAGGCCGAGGCAGCAGCAGCTCCGACCCCCTACTGCTGGGCTCTCCCGACAGGCACCTACTAGGGCAACCATAAGCGCCGGCGGCCTCGCAGGGATGAAAGCCCTGAGCGGGAGCATCCGGTGCGTCACGGCGATGAGGGGCGGGACCAGCCCTTAAAGGGGCAGGCGCCAGGAACACTTGCAGGCGTCGGGCCCCCGCCGAGGCCAGAGGCTGCAGCAGCGGGTGCTGGGCTCGACGCCGACCCGACCCGCGCACAAGGGGCCTCCGGCTCCCTGGGGGCAGGAGCCAAGGGCAGGGCTAGCTCAGTGGTTTGAGCATTGGCCTCCTAAACCCAGGGTTGTGAGTTCAATCCTTGAGGGGGGCATTTAGGGATCTGGGGCAAGAATTGGGGACTGGCCCAGCTTTGAGCAGGGGGTTGGACTAGCTGTCCTCCTGAGGTTCCTTCCAACCCTGAGATTCTATGAAGCGGGAGGTGATGGGCCAGGGCCCTGGTGTAGACAGCGCTCTGCCCTTGGGGGGGCTTCCCCCACCGGGCACAGCTGCCCCCGCCCGTGGACGAAGCTCTCCCGTCAGCAGAGGTGAAATCTTCGCTAAGCACTACAGGGATGCAGCCGCACCAGTAAACAAGCCCTGTGAGCATGGAGGAGCCCTGAGAAGGGGCTGGGGGAGGGGAGGAAGAGGAGGGTATTTTTACCTAGTTGTCATGGTCGATCCTTGTTTTTAAACACCCCTGCCATGCAGAAGTCTTGAGGTTAAACTATCCACAGCTTCTTTGCCACTCCTAAAGTCGGTTTCCCCTTCTCAGGCCGGACAGCATGGAAGCTTCTTGCAGCAACAAGTCCTGTAAACAGGTCACCACACCCTGTCCCCCCTCTTCCAAGAGGCTCCCCCACTTCCAACACAAACTTCTTGTTATTACTTACAAAGCTTCCACAATTTAGCCTCACCCCCTCTGACCTGTCATAAGATCATAAGAACGGCCAGACTGGGTCAGACCAAAGGTCCATCTAGCCCAGTCTCCTGTCTTCCGACAGTGGCCAGTGCCAGGTGCCCCAGAGGGAATAAACAGAACAGGCAATCATCAACTGATCCATCCCCTGTCGCCCATTCCCAGCTTCCGGTGAACAGAGGCTAGGGACACCTTCCCTGCCCATCCTGGGCAATAGCCATTGATGGACTTAGGGTATGTCTACACTATGGAATAAGGTCGAATTTATAGAAGTCGGTTTTTTAGAAATCGGTTTTATATATTCGAGTGTGTGTGTCCCCACAGAAAATGCTCTAAGTGCATTAACTCGGCGGAGCGCTTCCACAGTACCGAGGCTAGAGTCGACTTCCGGAGTGTTGCACTGTGGGTAGCTATCCCACAGTTCCCGCAGTCTCCTCTGCCCATTGGAATTCTGGGTTGAGATCCCAATGTCTGATGGGGCTAAAACATTGTCGCGGGTAAATTGATGGGGCTAAAACATTCAGGGTACATATCGTCAGGCCCCTGTTCCCTCCCTCCCTCCGTGAAAGCAAGGGCAGACAATTGTTTCGCACCTTTTTTCCTGAGTTACCTGTACAGACGCCATACCACGGCAAGCATGGAGCCCGCTCAGGTAACAGTCACCGTATGTCTCCTGGGTGCTGGCAGATGTGGTACTGCATTGCTACACAGCAGCAGCAACCCATTGCCTGCTGGCAGCAGACGGTACAGTACGACTGGTAGCCGTCATCATCATGTCCGAGGTGCTCCTGGCCACGTCGGCCACGAGCGCCTGGGCAGACATGGGCACAGGGACTAAATTTGGAGTGACTTGACCAGGTCATTCTCTTTAGTCCTGCAGTCAGTCCTATTGAACCGTCGTATGGTGAGCAGGCAGGCGATACGGATTGCTAGCAGTCCTATTGCACCATTTTCTGCCGAGCAGCCATGAGATGTGGATGGCATGCAGTCCTTCTGCACCGTCTGCTGCCAGCCAAAGATGTAAAAGATAGATGGAGTGGATCAAAACAAGAAATAGACCAGATTTGTTTTGTACTCATTTGCCTCCTCCCCTGTCTAGGGGACTCATTCCTCTAGGTCACACTGCAGTCACTCACAGGAAAGGTGCAGCGAGGTAAATCTAGCCATGTATCAATCAGAGGCCAGACTAACTTCCTTGTTCCAATAAGAGCAATAACTTAGGTGCACCATTTCTTATTGGAACCCTCCGTGAAGTCCTGCCTGAAATACTCCTTGATGTAAAGCCACCCCCTTTGTTGATTTTAGCTCCCTGAAGCCAACCCTGTAAGCCATGTCGTCACTCGCCCCTCCCTCCGTCAGAGCAACGGCAGACAATTGTTCCGCGCCTTTTTTCTGTGCGGACGCCATACCAAGGCAAGCATGGAGGCCGCTCAGCTCACTTTGGCAATTAGGAGCACATTAAACACCTCACGCATTATCCAGCAGTATATGCAGCACCAGAACCTGGCAAAGCGATACTGGTCGAGGAGGCGACGTCAGCGCGGTCACGTGAGTGATCAGGACATGGACACAGATTTCTCTGAAAGCATGGGCCCTGCCAATGCATGCATCATGGTGCTAATGGGGCAGGTTCATGTCGTGGAACGCCGATTCTGGACTCGGGAAACAAGCACAGACTGGTGGGACCGCATAGTGTTGAAGGTCTGGGACGATTCCCAGTGGCTGCGAAACTTTCGCATGCATAAGGGCACTTTCATGAAACTTTGTGACTTGCTTTCCCCTGCCCTGAAGCGCATGAATACCAAGATGAGAGCAGCCCTCACGGTTGAGAAGCGAGTGGTGATAGCCCTGTGGAAGCTTGCAATGCCAGACATCTACCGGTCAGTCGGGAATCAATTTGGAGTGGGCAAATCTACTGTTGGGGCTGCTGTGATGCAAGTAGCCCACGCAATCAAAGATCTGCTGATATCAAGGGTAGTGACCCTGGGAAATGTGCAAGTCATAGTGGATGGCTTTGCTGCAATGGGATTCCCTAACTGTGGTGGGGCGATAGATGGAACCCATATCCCTATCTTGGCACCGGAGCACCAAGCCGCCGAGTACATAAACCGCAAGGGGTACTTTTCAATAGTGCTGCAAGCTCTGGTGGATCACAAGGGACGTTTCACCAACATCAACGTGGGATGGCTGGGAAAGGTACATGACGCTCGCATCTTCAGGAACTCTGGTCTGTTTCAAAAGCTGCAGCAAGGGACTTTATTCCCAGACCAGAAAATAACCGTTGGCAATGTTGAAATGCCCATAGTTATCCTTGGGGACCCAGCCTACCCCTTAATGCCATGGCTCATGAAGCCGTACACAGGCAGCCTGGACAGTAGTCAGGAGCTGTTCAACTACAGGCTGAGCAAGTGCAGAATGGTGGTAGAATGTGCATTTGGACGTTTAAAGGCACGCTGGCGCAGTTTACTGACTCGCTTAGACCTCAGCGAAACCAATATTCCCACTGTTATTACTGCTTGCTGTGTGCTCCACAATATCTGTGAGAATAAGGGGGAGACGTTTATGGCAGGGTGGGAGGTTGAGGCAAATCGCCTGGCTGCTGGTTACGCGCAGCCAGACACCAGGGCGGTTAGAAGAGCACAGGAAGGAGCGGTACGCATCAGAGAAGCTTTGAAAACCAGTTTCATGACTGGCCAGGCTACGGTGTGAAAGTTCTGTTTGTTTCTCCTTGATGAAACCTCCCGCCCCTTGGTTCACTCTACTTCCCTGTAAGCTAACCACCCTCCCCTCCTCCCTTCGATCACCGCTTGCAGAGGCAATAAAGTCATTGTTGCTTCACATTCATGCATTCTTTATTCATTCATCACACAAATAGGGGGATGACTACCAAGGTAGCCCAGGAGGGGTGGTGGAGGAGGGAAGGAAAATCCCACACAGCACTTTAAAAGTTTACAACTTTAAAATTTATTGAATGCCAGCCTTCATTTTTTTCGGCAATCCTCTGTGGCGGAGTGGCTGGTTGGCCGGTGGCCCCCCCACCACGTTCTTGGGCGTCTGGGTGTGGAGGCTATGGAACTTGGGGAGGAGGGCAGTTGGTTACACAGGGGCTGTAGTGGCAGTCTGTGCTCCAGCTGCCTTTGCTGCAGCTCAACCATACACTGGAGCATACTGGTTTGGTCCTGCAGCAGCCTCAGCATTGAATCCTGCCTCCTCTCATCACGCTGCCGCCACATTTGAGCTTCAGCCCTCTCTTCAGCCCGCCACTTACTCTCTTCATCCCGCCACTTACTCTCTTCAGCCCGCCACCTCTCCTCCCGGTCATTTTGTGCTTTCCTGCACTCTGACATTCTTTGCCTCCACGCATTCGTCTGTGCTCTGTCAGTGAGGGAGGACAGCATGAGCTCGGAGAACATTTCTTCTCGAGTGCGTTTTTTTTTCTTTCTAATCTTCACTAGCCTCTGGGAAGGAGAAGATCCTGTGATCATTGAAACACATGCAGCTGGTGGAGAAAAAAAAAGGGACAGCGGTATTTAAAAAGACACATTTTATAAAACAGTGGCTACACTCTTTCAGGGTAAACCTTGCTGTTAACATTACATACATAGCACATGTGCTTTCGTTACAAGGTCGCATTTTGCCTCCCCCCACCGCGTGGCTACCCCCTCAACCCTCCCCCCTTCCCGTGGCTAACAGCAGGGAACACTTCTGTTTAGCCACAGGCAAACAGCCCAGCAGGAACCTCTGAGTGTCCCCTGAAGAAAAGCTCTCTATTTCAAGCAGGTGACCATGAATTATATCTCACTCTCCTGAGGATAACACAGAGAGATAAAGAACGGATGTTGTTTGAATGCCAGCAAACATACACTGCAATGCTTTGTTGTACAATGATTCCCGAGTACGTGTTACTGGCCTG